ATATACCAGTTGTCCTGAGAGTGCCCGTCCTTGCTCAGCTTCCACCTAAAGGACTCTGTAATCCTGTGATTCTTGTGTCCTTTATTTTTGGGGTACTGTAGTTCTAGTCTCTGACAGGCAGGCCTCCACCCTGGACATCTCTACATGAAGCCCCTCTTGTCTGAGTGCCATTTTATCCCTGCTTATACCATGTTGGGCTTCCCCTTGCTTCTCCTCTCCTAGTCTGGCCTGGGGCCCCGTTAGCTGGCTTTGTGAGCCTCCTGGTGGGCTCTCCCTTGCTTCTCCGCTTGTCTGGGCTGGGACCCCCTTAGTTGGCCTTGTGAGCCTCCTGGGATCAGGACACAGAGATTGTGGTCTTAGCTCTGCCCCATGCTGCAAACCTTGAGCTATCAGCTAACCCTCTCTGGGCTTCAGGTTGGGTCAGAGGATCACTCAGTCTCTGTCAGGATTCAGACCCAGTCACTCATCTAGGTCCATTGTTTTTGCAGACTCTGCACCAGAACCTGGCCTTTTGTACCTTTAACATCAGCCCCCTGACAGGCTTTGCTTGGTGTGACATCAGGGTAGGACTCCCCCAGGTATCTGGTCCAAAGTGTCAGTGCTTCCTCATTTCACCTGATTCCTAGGGTCTTACCCAGACCTGTGTGTCTTCACCCGCTGCCCCTAGTGCTGGGCCTGCCAATATGTGCAGATGCACCTAGCTTTTTATGGGTGTTCCGCGGATCCAGATCCATGTTCTCATGCTTGCACAGCAAGCGTTTTGCCCCCTGAGCCATCTCCCCAACCCCTGGAAGACTGTTCTTTATTTAGGGTAACAACAAACAAACAAACAAACAAAACCCACTTGTATAAAGACAGAAGATTAAAAAAAAAAAAAAACAGGAAAAAAAAGCACATTTCAAAAGAAAGGCATTGCCTCTTCTCCCTGTGCACCCTATTTCTGCTCTGCTCCCCACCATGCCTCCTTCAGGTGGTGTAGGATTCCCAGAATAAAGACCTGGTGGACAGCTAGGATCCGATTCAGCACCTTGGCCAGGCTTTGCCCCCCCCCCCCAACTCCCTGCACCTTCACTCAGCCCCCAGCCTTTGTGACTCAGGCCTTTGCAACTGACCTCCTGGCGTGGCAGTCTTGGTTCTGAGCTGGTGGTGAGCTTGGGGTGTTAAACAGAGCGGAGACCCAGGCAGGAGGAGTCTGTCCAGGTGTGAGCAGTCAGCCTCTCGGGATGGCCTCCCTGGCAGGAGGGAAGGCCGGGCCCCAGAGTCTCTGAGGTGAGCTGTGTATTGCCAAGAGACTTTTTCGTTGTTGTTTTTCTGTCTCTGCCATCACCCCAGAGAGAGTGACAAAAAAGATTAATAGCCGAATCTATTGAGGATCGAGTGGCCCAAGTGGTGGGACCCAACATTCCACTTACCCTGGTAATCAAGCAGATCTCTAAGCTGTGCCCAGTAGACATGGGGAAACTGAGGCCAGAGAGGATTAGGAACCTGCTTAAAGTCACAGTGTGCTTCATAAACCCTCCTGAAGCCATATGGGATCTGTGGTGTAAGGTCCCTCTTCAAAGCCCAGGATCCTAGTTATGGTGGCTGCCCCATCACTGAGTGGTCCTCAGAGTTGAGAGAAGTCCCTCCAGAGAGGTCTAAATGTGGCCTTAGTGCTTCCGGCTCTTCCAGGGACTAGCTGTGGATCCCCTGGGCAGCGTTGCTTTGTGTCTCTAACACCGAGATAATGACAGTATCCTCATGGGCTCTTCTTTGTGGTTAGATAAAGTGTACAATGCACTAGAACTTGGCTTACAGACTGCATACGGGGCCTCAGAATGGGGGCTCGAGACAATCAATTAGTCCTTTCTGCCAGCCTCACCTTCAACTGTATTGTTAGCCTGACAATCCCGATCTCTCTCCCTGTCCCTCCCCCTTCTCTCCCCATCCCTCCCTCCATTTCCTTCCCCTTCTCTCTGCCCCCCCCCCCCCCCCCCCCCCCCCCCCCCCCCCCCCCCCCCCCCCCCCCCCCCCCCCCCCCCCCCCCCCCCCCCCCCGCGTCTCACTCTTTAGCCCAGGCTTCTAGTTCCAATACTGGATCTTCCTGCCTCTAGCCCCTTCCCTCTCCTTGCCCATGGATCTCCGCCTAGGAACTCAAACAATCCAGGGCCTGGTGTGGGTCCTTTTCCAGCCCACCTCAAGGTTATAAAGTCCCACCTAGTGCCTTAGAGGGTCCACCTCCCTCACCCTGCAGGCGAGGAAAGGAAGGAAGGAAGGACGCTTTCAGTTAACATGAATCAATGAAAAGCCAAGACTAGATCCCAAGGTTCCCGTTCTTGCATTGCAGAGCTGCGGAAGAGCAGGCAACCTTCTTGTTAGCCATGGGCACAGCCTGTGTGTACACAGACAGGACCCTGATGGACTATGCCTAGACTGCTTCTCCATCAGTTGGAGGTAGGATGGACTTCTATCTCCATAGCAACCTAAGGACTTCCCTATTTACCTTGTTCCACACCCCTCACAGGATGCAGGAGGAAGATGAACTTCTCAGGGGCCAAGAAGGCACAGAAGCTTAGAAAACCCATGTAGCTTCAGGCACAGACTGTGGGAGAAGAGGCAGGGCCTCAGGAACTGTATACTTTATAGCTTCCCAATAAGTCATGTTAAGTCTATGCTAGCCAGTTGTGGTGGCACACGCCAGTAGGATTTGCTGAAGGAGGCAGAGGCAGGAGGATCACGAGTTCGAGGCCAGCCTGGGCTACACATTAAAAAAAAAAGTCTATGCTATCACCCCTATTTTACAAGGGGAGCAACTCAGGCCCTCAGAGGTTGAGTTGTTTTCTCTAAAGTGAAGCTTGATCTAGAGCCCAGGCTTATATAGTCTAAGACTCCGGCTGCCGCCCTGTATGGTTCCCTTATCCGCTTTCAAGGTTACCCCATTTTTCTTCAGGCAGGGATGTCTGCCCTGCCTGGTGAGTGTCTGGCAGGGCTGTGGGGTGGGTGCTGACCCAGAACTCACTTCTTCCTGTCTGGTGTGGGCTGTGGGCTTCTCAGAGTCACATCCTCTCTTTGGACCTCACTGTGCTCTGGAGATGTCTTCAGCGGGGCTGCCTAGGGGACCAGACTGGCTATGCTAATGAGTGTCCCCTCTCTGGGGTGGGACAGGCTGCTTTGTCTTCATCAGAAGGAATGGAACAGACACCTGTGCCCTGTAACCTTAATTTAATACAAATTGATCATAATGCACAAAAGAGCAATGTTTTAAATAAAAATACTGTCGGGAGTAGCCTGGAGTCCCGGAGTGGAGGGCGCGAGTAGAGCTTAGGGTTCCTCTTGTGCAGGGGGGGCCCAGTGCATGGCAGTTGTGAGTGGGAGCCCCTCAAGTTCATCCATTCTGGCTCCTTGGAGATGGACATGCTCACTGAACCCCAAATACAGGACTGAAGCCCCAGGACTACAGTGAAGCTGGGGAGCCATTTTGATTGTATTTCTGACTCCGACCTACTCCTGAGATTGTTGCCTCTGGGCAGGGACAGGCAGGGACAGAGCCTAGGAGCAGGAAATCTTCAGCAGCTCTGCTTCAAAGTCAAGGCCGTGAGGTGGGTTCATTGATTCTCCTGAGTTCTGCACAGTTGGATGCTGTGGTAAGGAAATTGTGGATGGGCCTGCTCCACCTCCATGCTAACTTTCTGTATGGATGAGGCTGGGAGAGAAAAAAACTACACTTCCCAGACTTCTTTGCTGTCAAAATCTGGGTTCTGACTCAAGTTTCCACAGAAAGAATCCCTCCAAAAGATATAGATTTGGGACCTGAGTTGAGAGAGAAGCAGGCTCTGATAACCACTTGCTGGAATGGACAGTGGACGGTGGCCCCGAGCAGCTAGAGAGGCAGGGGCTCCCCACGAATGGAAACAGCTTTCATGGTCACAAGACATCATCACTTTAGCGGCCTGAATTGTCTCTGGAAACTCAGCAAGGCTCTCCTCCTCCAGCCCTTCCAGTGATCTTGAAAGCCACCGGGGAGCTGATTGTAAATTCTTGTCTGATAATGCCAACGAAGGTGGCTCTTGTGTGCGCAGCAGGATCCTATGGGAGCCAGATGCCAAGTCCAAAGTGGTACCCACCGACAGCTCTCCTGGGATTCAGGTCCTGATGAGAAGAACTGCTACCAGCACCCTCTCTGTCCCCACAGCAGCTCATAGAGGCCTGACTAATGAGGGCTGGCTGGACCTCTATCCCCAGGGCAGCTGGGGACTTGGATCGATATCGTTCATTGCTGCTTTGTCTTGACAGTGTTCTGTATTGGTTTCTGGGGTCCTTATGCCTCACCCTGCCTCAGAGTCCATGGACTGGAAGGTAGAGGCATGACCGTACCATGTGAACTGCTTGTCACATGCCACAGCGTCGTTTCTGACAGTGGGAGCAGCTTAGTGGGGGAGGAGGAAAGCTGCAGCTCTCGGCTTGGTGCAGGGGTAGCAGGAGAGGGTGACCCTCAGATATCCCTAGGACCAGCTTCCATCTAGGTCTACTGTGTACTTGGGTCAAGAGTAAAACAACCCATTACTCTCTTGGTCAGGGGCAAGTCATGTCTTAGGCCACAAACATAAGAGGATTCTGTATATCTTTTGGGCTGCTAGCTATTGGTCACATCTGATCTGTCAAGAGGCTAGGTCGCTTGGGCAGAAGGAGGGAAATTCCCTGTCCCTGGGAGAATAGGGAGGAGGGGTTGGGCTAGGGATGCCCTGGGGAGAAGCCATGTAACATCCCATTAATATCAGAGCTACAGGACATTAACCACGGAGCACAACCCCCAGCTCGCAGGCAGGGCAGAGGAGGCTGGGGGATAAACAACTGGCCTGAGGTCTCAGGGAGGCCATGGCGGGCCTGAGTAGTCCAGCCGCCCCCCCCCCCCCCCCCCCCCCCCCCCCCCCCCCCCCCCCCCCCCCCCCCCCCCCCCCCCCCCCCCCCCCCCCCCCCCCCCCCCCCCCCCCCTCCCGTTACAAACTCGAACGTGTCCCCCCCCCCCCCGCCGTCTGCTGGGCAAGGCTCTTGCTGGTGGTCACAGACCCAGAAGGCTTTGGTCTCCTTCAGCCCGGACTAGATGCGGACAGTGTTGATCCTCAGCGGCTGGACGTTCTTGCCATTAGCGTGGCTCTGGCCAGGGCTGAAGTAGGAGCAGAGCTTGCCAGGGAACTTCTCTCGGAAGGTGTAGAGCCAGGACATGTCGTCGGCATTGTAGAAGATGAGGAGGCCCTGGTCATAGTCCAGGAAGACACCCACCTTGTCGAGCTTGTCACGGACGTTGAGCCGCGTCCAGGGCTCCGTGCACGCGCTGTACTGATTGCCATCGTGCATCACGATGCAGTAGAAGCCGCGGCTCGGCTGGATCTGGATGCTGCCCTTGCGGCTCGCAGCCTCGTGGGCCAACCCAATCACCCACTGTGTCTTCTCTGCCACCACCACCTCCCAGTAGTGGACGCCACTACTGAAGGCCTCGGAGCCCAGCACCGACACCTCCACGTCGAAACGCTTCGGTGAGTCCTGCAGGGGTTGTGGGTGCAGGTTTCCGTAGGCCACGATGGTGCAGTCATCCGACAGGATCAGGCGCTGGTGGGCAGTGCCTGGGTCCAGGGTCAGGGCCGCTGGCACTAGGTGGGAGAGAGAAGGGGAGGATGGGAAGATCAGTGGAGAGAAGGCTGTAGGTCCGCTGTGTAGTGCCCACTTGAGGAGAGGGTCCTGGTTGGTCTCCAGGAGGCTACTGACCTACTGTGTCACAAGATAAATGAACATAAACTTGCCCCCTTGTCTGTAGCTGCCTCCTCTACAAAAAACGGAACACCTGGCCGCAGAGGAGTGGCTGATAAGGTCAGAGTGATTCCCAGGGCAAAGCACGGAGTGACTCCAGAAGGGAGTTTCAGAGCTGGGAAGGAGCAGATTAGCCAGGTGATACTGCCCCCTAGAGGGCGATCTGAAAACGTTTGCCGCTTGTCTCCAAGACTGGCGGGATGGAGGGTGGCTAAGCGAGCTGGGGACAGGCTGGCCTCACGAGGGATGATTCACCCCACCACTGAACTCCAGACATCCTGCCAGACATCCAAGTGGTAGAGAAATCTTTCTATGCGGGTCTGGAAGTACAACCTACCTTGGCAATATGTATCAACGTGAAACCGATCCTGTGATTTTTTATAACACATTGAGGGTTTTGGAAGGCAATGACCGAACTGAGGGAGGCTACACTTTATCATTGTTTGTGTAGGACTCGGGCTGATTTGCTCAGTACATCTCTAAGGATGACACCGTGGGCACAGACAACCGTCTGGATGGTGCTTCAGTTACACTGTGAGCACTGGTTGCTTGGTTGTGCTTTCCAGGGTGATTCAAAATATTTAATGATGGGCTGGGGATATGGTTCAGTTGGCAAAGTCCCTGCCTGGCATGCACAAAGCCCCAGGTTTGATCCCCAGCACCTCATAAAACTGGCCATGGTGATATGTGCCTGTAATTGCAACCCTCTGGAGATGGAGGCAGGAGGACCGTAAATCCTAGGTCATCTTACACTACACGGTGAGTTCGAGGCCAGGCTGTACTGCAACCGGTGCTGGCTTCAAGGAAGTTTAACTACAAATCACCTTCTATTTTTCCTTTATACTACGGTCAGTTGTTACATATGTATGTATACATTATCATATATATAAAATTAAAAGATCATATGTATGAGCTGAGATTTTAAAATTTATTTGTTATTATTAAAAATAGATAATATGTCCCAAAATGTTGGAAATCTCTAATCCTACCAACTTTTCCATTTGACAGACAGGAAAATCAAGACCCTCGGGAGCAGGTCAAAATATGCTGGCAGAGCGGAGACTATTCAAGGCCACCTGGTACCTGGCCACAGCCCACCTCTTTGTTCAGGCCTAAACCCTTACTCAGCTGTCCCCTGCCCCCTACATCCTCTCTGCCATGGAGATCAGCCCCCCCCCCCCCCNGCCCCATTCGAAGGCCTGTCCTCTGGGAGCCTTCCCACTGGAGGATTCAGCTGGTTTCTCCCTAGGCCTCTGGGACTCCTGTTCTCTCTGCTGCTCTCCTATACAGGGAACGGCCTTCTGGGCTCCTATCTCACCCAACTTTGCACCCAGAGGCCAAGGCCTGTGTTGCAGCGAACCCTGTCTTCCGGGAGAGTTGAATGCCCAGCACCGAGCCTGGCACGGCGGGCAGGCTTTTGGACACACAAACACACTCACTCCTGTCTGACAGTGTCCCTCGTGCAGGCTGGGTCACCTGGCTCTGAGCTGGCCATACCGGCTCAGCAGGTCTGATAGGACAGTCTCTTGAACTCCACAAGACCTCTGTTTATTGATAACCCCCCAAGGAGCGGAGGAAACCTGGGACCGGCACTTCTCAGTGAATGAATATTTCCAGGCCAGGGTAAGACAGAAGGGAGAGAGCAGGATGGAACGACGGAATACTGCTACAGTTCCTCTGGGCCAAGGACTTTCCCGGGCTCCCTGACTCTTTCCTATCAGCTGGAGCAGGGACACGATGGCTCTCCACTGTTACCTCCCATTCAGCGCCCCTGTAGGACGCAGATACACAGAGGAATAAGACACTCCCATGCTTGTGACTGTCCCGCTAGGCAGTCACGGCTGTTCCCAGCATCATGCACCCATAACAGGCTGACCTGCATGGAACTGCTTCCATGAGCCTGATCATAGTAACTTCACTTCCGTACCTCACACCTCTCTCTTGACGTCAGAATGCAGAGAGCTGTGGGCATAGACGGGCCCGTGGAACAATCCTTTGTCCGGGGACATAAAACGGAGAGGAGGTGCTAATGGGCCCACAGGTGAACTTTTGCCTGTATTCTGTCAGTAAGAACGAGAAAGTTCCTGCCCTGTGTGGTGTGAAGAGTTCTCGCAGTGAGAGGGAGGCTGGAAGGAGGTGTGAGTGCGTGTGTGAGGACCTAATCAGCTACAGATGTGTTGCTGATACTACAGGCAGTGGGACACGCTGGGAGTGGAGTCCCAGGGAAAACATCAGCCTTTGGGAATGCAGATTCCCACATGCCAGATGCCTAGGAGGTAAGGAGGTCAGCAAAAGGGAGACCCCAAGGCTCAAGAGATAGTTAAGGGGATACCAGCAGGCAGCATGAAGATTCGCTGACTCTCAGGTCTGTGTAGGCTTTGGGGCCACCTCTGGAGCCCCTGGCAGCACCCTCCGTGAGGCCGGCAGGAACAGGGGCCTTCAGTCCAGAGAGCGGTCAGGGACCCTGAGGGGCACTCTGGTGTGGCAGTTCCCCTTTCGCCCCTCCCAAGCAGCCTGTACCCTCAGGGTGGTGATGAGACCCAGAGAGACCCAGTGAAGCCAAAGCCTTTCTCCAGGCTCTGCTTGGAGGTCAGAGTTCACGCCTAACTGTGACGCTCTTCTTTATAGACAAAGGCTGGCTCCGCTCCGCTCCACTATGTGTTCTGAGTTTCTGAAACCACTCTAAGACCTTGGGTCAAAAGGCACCCAGGAAGGGTCACAGACTTCCGGACTCCATGAAAACGTTTCCTGTTCCTCCTCAACCATCACCCAAGCAGTAGAGAAAGGCCTCCCAGATGCCCAGCCCGGCACACTGCCCAGCAGTCGGAAGCCCGGGTCTCTTTGTTCTCGGGTACAGTCAGGGTCTCATGAGACAGTAAGTATGCCTGCATTTTTTTTCCCTCTCCAAGTCAGGCCTTAAAAAACAGAAGTCTAGCCCAAGTCTCATAGCTCCTCAGGCCCTCAGTGCCCTCTCCTGCGTTCACAGAGTCTGCACAGAACAGGCACCGCTCCAGAGAGTCACAGTAGTCCCAGGGTCTCGATGACTGTAGCCATTTTTCAGAAGAGCAAACTGAGGCTCTCTGAAGTAAGCGTCTTACTTAGGTTCTACTTGGGGTGAAAGGGGAATTGGAGCGTGAGCTGGGTCTTTTTACATGGTGTCCTTCCATCATCTGGCCCCAGAAAATCTGACCAGCAAGGTGGGGCAAGTGTCTGATTCATAATAAATAGTACAGCATGCTTACTAAGTTACGGGACCGTCTTCACACAGAAATTAGTCCTCTTTGTTATCTATCCTGGGCAACCACCAGGACCACCTCTGAGGTGTAGGCAAGGCAGCTCAGCTGCAGCGGGGAGGGGGGAGGTGGCTTTGCCTTGGGGTCACACAGTGGGGCAGAGAACATTCTGGGTCTCCACATGATTAGATCCAGATGAGTAGCGACTGGGGGAGAGGCCAGGCGAGGCAGCGGAGGCTGAGGAGGGAGAGGAGTGTCCGGTGTCCTTGGGACAATGGGCTGCCTGGCTCGCTGGGGACGTTTGCGTGATAGGGCTGAGTTGGCAGAGGGATGGTGGGCAGAGGGCTGGGGGCAGGGCAGGCGGCTGAAGGTGATGAAGTGTGGAAGCTCCGGAGTAGGGGAGCGACAGGTGTTAGATGGGGTTCTCAGATGACCCAATGGGAAGCTTAGGCTGTAAAGGAGGGGCAGGCAGGAAGCCACTAGAAGCCACAGTCAGGTCCCTGGGGAAAAGCAGCCCTCCCATCTGGACATAAAAGGTCTGGTACTCACAGAGAAGCCAGAGTGACTTCATAGATCCTGCAGACAAAGGAGGGGCCCAGCCAACCAGGTCACTGCTGTCTAAAGTCCCAGGGGCCTTTGCTCAGGGCAGAGTGCTCAGGTCACACACCTGCCCCCTCAGTCCCTTTGCAGGTAGTGTTCTCAGGGTCTGCGGTCTCAATCGAGACAACTGTGCTTCCAAAAGATGTCTGACCACAGCCGGAGACACTTTGGGTTGCTCTAAGGGAGGGGAGGGGACAGTGGCACCTAGTAAGCTAGATCTAGAGGCTGCGGAGGCTGCCAGTCTCCTGTGGTGGATGGGACAGGGCCTTCAGCAAGGCCTTGTGGGTCAGCGGCACAGAGGCCGAGACACCCTGCCTGACCATTCGCTCACTTGTCATGGAGGCGAAAAGGGACATTGCCATCTCCGTTATTCCGAGGACATAATGGGACTAGAGGAAGAAGGGGGATGTCTAAGGACCTACAGCCAGTCCCTTTAATTTACTGAGTACCTGGTATATACACTAGGCACTATTCTAGAAGTAAACTGGAGTCTAACATCTGTTCTTTTATTCCTGCATCCACAAACACTGACTGCTGGCTGCAGGGGATTAACTGAACCCAGCCTCTGGCCCCTTAGAGCTCAGAGTCCAGAGAGAGGGAACGAGAGTCGCCTCAGCTGTTATCGGGCACTGTGATCTGAAAAGGCCACGGTTACCTGAGGAAACCCAGGAAGGCATTTCGGCTGAGGTGTTTAAGGCGAAGCTACGAAAAGGGGGTGAATTTTGGCCATCGAATACGAAAGCATTTGATGGTGCCAAGGCCTCCAGGCAAAATGCGCAGAGGAGGGAGAATCTGGCTCGTGCACAGCCTGACGATGGCTCAGGGCAGCTTGAGTGTGATGTCTTAGAGGGTTCTGACTGACTGGGTGAGGCTCTTGTGGCAGGGATGAGGCAGGTGGCAGCTGAGGCAGCAAGTTTCTAGACCACCCCCTTGAGGGGTCCCAGGGGAGGAAAGAAAAAGAGCCTGGGGTTCTTGTCTGTCTCTAGGTACCCTGGTTCATCCACACATGGCCCAGTGTGAAAGTCCTTCAGAGGCTGGCAGCACACTCCCGGGAGGCAGCTGAGTTTGCTAGAAAGCCTTCCCTTCTCCCAACATTGTTGCTTTTGTTCATTAGACCCCCTCTTCAACTCTAAGACGGCAGGAATGACACATTAGATGAGGCCTGTCATCTGAAGGGGAGCCCCAGTTCCGTGCCCCAGCATCCATACCCTGGGTGATTGTACCAGGGACCTCTCCATCACTGCGGGGGTTCAACTGAGGACATTCTGGAGTGACCCGTGCTCTCCAGTATCCAAGGCAAACCTGAGCTTCTCCTGGCTGCATCTGTTGCTTCTGATGGACTGACCCTCCTTCCCTGCCCACACACTTTGCCCCCCAACTCCCCTCACCCCGCCCCGCCCCCACCCCTAGGTTTCCATGATGTGAAAATCTCATGCCAGAGCCTCATCCCACTAGACTGCCAAGGTTAGGCCATTTGTCTGTCTCCCTTGACTCTTGAAACTGAGGGACCGTCACTGTTTGGAGAATGAAATAGCGAATCCATCCAGGTGGATGGACTCTGACTCCTGTGTCAGGACAGGGAACAGCTGTGCCTCCACTTGGGGAACAGGCACAGTAATAGAACCTGCTGTAGAGGGCTTTCTGGGGGCTCGAGGGCTCGGCCTAGGCTCTGGGGCACAGTGGACGATCCATCCAATCGCTCTGGCTCCGAGCCTCTAATTCTGCATGTGTGACGTGTGGATGACTGTGGCAAGTTCCTCCAGGAGTGGAGTGGGTCACCGTGATACAAAGCACTTAAACCAGAACAGAACACCCGCAGGCACTCTGCCCACTTCCTGCTCTGCCACCTGCCACACCTGGCCCAGGTGGCAATGCACACTTCTCCCTGTCGCCTCACCTGGGTGGATGTCCTGGAAAAGAGACTTCCAGATGGTGTACTGCAGAGGGCCCGTGTACTTGGAGGTGGGGAAGTCTTCGTACGTCAGGTTGGTTTCGTGGATCTTCCCCTTGAGCCTGGAAGGACAGCAGGAGAGAAGACTTCATGGAGCCCGGTACTCACCTCCAGGGTGTATTGATATTTTATTTATTTAAATAAAGCTTGCCTGAAGATCAGAGTGCAAAGCTAGCCACACTAGTCAGTCATATAGGTCAGGCAATGGTGGCACACACCTTTAATCCCAGCAGCCACACTAGTTAGCCAGTGAGGCCGGGTGGTGGTGTTTTATGCCTTTAATACCAGCACTAGAGACGGACAGGAGACAGGAGCTCAGGGTCTCAGTCTGCAGTCACACTGAGGACAGGATCGCCCAGCCTTGGTAGAGATAAGGACTCTCTAGTGGTTGGCTTCTTTGCTTTTTCTGATCTTCAGCTTGAACCCCAACATCTGACTCTGGGTTTTTATTATTCGTGCTGCGCCAGAGTGAGATCATGAGTGAGATGTCTGTCGTACCGAGACGCAAGTGCCTGCTTCTGCCTTTCGAGGCCTGTTGAGGGGATCTCATGGAGTAATGTGCCGGAAATGCTTAGCTCAGGGGCTCGTTCATGGCCAACATCAAGCACATGAAATCAGTGGTGAGTGTTGAGCTCCAGCTAGCCAGTACTAAGTGGTGCCCTGAAGAGCAGCTTTCAGAGGCCTGAGCTTGAACCCTGGCTTTACACCAGCCCAAGTAGCCTTGGCCATTGATCAACTGATCTGACTTCTCTGAGCTTCAGCTTCTATACTTGTGAAATGAGCATTGTAAGCTCCCTGCAGAGGGCTCAGGGGTTACATTAATGGAATGTCTCTACAGACCGGCACACAGTATTCGTGTTATTGTTGACAGGGACTGAAGAGATAGCTCAGCTGGTAAAGTGCCTGCCTTGCAAGCATGAAGGCCCGAGTTCGATTTCTAGAACCCATGTCAAAACCAAAGCAAGCATGGTGGTGCGCACTTGAAATCCCAGTGCTGGAGAGGCGGAGACAGGAGGATTCCCCGAGGGCTCACTGGCCAGCCAGTCACAGTCTGCTTGGAGAGCTCAGTTAGTGAGAGACCTCATCTCAGAAGCTCTGGCGGGGGCCGCAGACAGACAATAGTGCTTACTGCTCTTCAAGGGGACTTGAGTTTGTTCCCCAGCACCCATGGCTCACGACGGCCTATAACTCCACCTCCAGGGGATGCCACACTCTCTTCTGGTCTCCACAGGCACCTATACATTCAAACAGACACGCACATCCCCAAGGGGGACAACGCCCTGAAGATTGACAGCTGAGGTGGACATCTGGCGATCACAGACAGGAACACGCACACCCCATTTCCCCCAATACATAAAACACATGAGTGACACACAGCACAAAGCCGTGCTAAATGACTATAAACATCATTGAATATTGCTTATGCTGTTATAATATAGGTAGAACACACACACATATGTTGTTCTGAGATCAGACTTCCCTCTGTAGTGCAGGCTGGCCTCCAACCCAGGCTGGGGTGGTGGTGATGGTCTTCACATGAGGTGCAACTCCAGGCACAGAGGGAAAGCCAATCTACACGACAAACCTCCCGCTTTAACATCCCTAGTGTCGTGATTACAGGGGTCAGCGACCATGCCCGGCTCCATCAGAATATAGTATATACAGAGAAACATGGATATGGAAGGCTTTTAGCCTGGGCTCTGGCATACTTAGAGCAGATTTCTATCAACGATGATGAAACTACGATTGGATGATTTATCTGCGGACAGCCCCATCCACCTGACCCCTCACTGCCTCAGCTGGGTTGGGAGAGGCCGTCGGGGAAGACCGCAGCCAGGAGGCACTTACCTCTCAGACAGGGAGGCCACTCCAGCAAGGAAGGTGTGCCGGTCCGTCTCAGCCAGCCGCTCCTGCAGGATCTGGGCACCTTCTTGCACCTTGCGAAGTTGCTGGCTGTAGCGCTGGACCTTCTGCTCAATGTCGGTCAGCGTGCGGGCTGTGTCGGCCTCCAGTTCCTCCAGCATGGCTTTCTGCCGTTCCCGCAGTAGCCTGTGCAGCCGCTCAAAGGCCTCCCCGATGGTGGTCCGCAGGCTCTTGGTAGAGGACTGTTGGGGGGATAACCATCAGGGGTTATGGGAAAGTATAACCGGGACCCAGCGTGAATCTTACTGCGTCCAGGTGCCAATGAGGGGGGCAGCTTTGACACAAAGATGGGGAGGGGGCTTGCTCGGCAGGCCGTGTAGGACACACAGATAAGCAAGGCGATAAGATGGGACCTGCACAGGACAGAAGGGCTCGTAGTTCCGTGGGGACCCAGCAGGAGACTAATGGGGGGATACAGCGGAGCCAATGAGGCTGCAAAGGGCAGGAATGCATGGTACTGCCCGGATTCCTGGCACGAGGGAAGGAAGGAGGGGACAGCTATGTGGGGGATGCCTATGCGTGCAATGTGGGATTCAGTGCTCTGTATTTTGACCACTTCATCATCTATGGGAGTCAAAGGATGATGACAAAGGGGGTCATGCAGGTCAGAGACCTTCATGAACAAGCAGAGATTGGACAAATCTTAGTGCTTACTTGCCCATCTGGCTCCCCTAAGACTCTCACTGCAGGAACAAGGCCACTGCCAAAGGAGGTCTACACATACCCGGACCCTCTCCCTTCCCTGAGGCCCAAGAAGCCATAGAGGAGTGACTGGGGAAAGGTCCCAGCTCTGAGTCTCTAGCTGTGGTGGCCTCAGCTACCTGAACTCTGTGTACCTCAGTTTCCCCATCTGTGAGAGGGGTTACAAAAGTCACATTGCAGGGGTGTGGTGATGTTCATCGAATGAGGTGCAACTCCAGGCACCGAGGGGAAGCTGAGGCACATACAGCAAAGGGACGGTTTCTAACAGGCATGCCTACGGAGTCCACATGGAGAGGTGGCTTCAGAGTGGGCTCCAGGGATTGGGGAGCACTGGTTGTGCATGGCAGAGCGGGAGCAGGCAGAGGGGGTAGCCTGAGGAACGCTGACAGTCAGGCGACACAGGATGTGGCCGCACGTGGGGCCTGCCTCTACAATTTCACTTTGTGGGCCTCTGGCTGGCAGTTCATAGAGTCAGAGACCCCACTGTGTTCAGTGCCCGGGGCTCTGTGGGAGCTTCCACAAAGGCTCAATTAAGGCCTGTTCTCTCCTGTGGTGGCTGCTGGCCCTGCAGGAAGAATGGCTGGCAGCAGGCCAGCCTCCCCGCGCATGCCCACCCAACACGCTGGGAAGACAAAGAAGGAGTGGAGGCGAGGCTGGGGATGGAGGGAAAGGCTGCTGGGGCCTCCTGGAGCCCCTCACCCAGAGAGGGTGAGGCTGCTACCGCTGGAGGATGGGGTCCACGTCCCTGTATTCTTTAGAGAAGTCTTCCGGGGTCTCCAGGTTCCGGGGTTACCCTCTCTGGCTCCTGCTAAACTGTTCAACAGCGCTAGCCACCCAGTGGCTGCTTGGTTTGTCTCTATTTCTTCTGTTGTGCCTCTCCAAGCACTGGTGGGGGGGGGGGCTCCTCCCCAGAGGCTTTCTTTCTCCTTTCCAGGTGGTGGGCATGCCAAGGTTCTTATCTGCTGTCTCCTCCATAATATGTCTCTCTAGCTAGTGTGTGAGCCCTTCCTGGATAGGAATGGCCTGTTCCCTGTCCCCGTGCCCACCCCCAGGCCTGGAACAGGCTGGCGGTCAGGAGGGCTTCACTGATGAAGGGGAGAGGGAGGGAAGGAGGGGGGGCTTGCTTAAGATCACATCACAAAGTTGAGGGTCCTTTCCATTGTCCCCAGATAGAGAAACAGGATGAGAGAGGGGACCAGGAAGTGGCATGGCTGTGTGACAGCCCAGCGTGATGGCCCAGGAGTACTGTACTTGACCCTGTTGGGCCTTCCCAAAGTCTTGCTACTAAAACAAGTTATGGGGCCTCAGGCCTGCCTGTCAATCTCTCCCGGCTGAACTTTCCTCTGTTAGAAGTGGGATTGCACTTTCTCACTACCAAAGGTGCTTAGCTAACTAATTAATTAATATTAATGATGTGATGCTCACTCACTTGTCCCACAGCCCCCTACCATGGATCAGATGCTATGCTAAGTTTAGGGAGTCCTGCTCTCATGACTCTCCTTTCACCACGTGGGTCCCAGGGATTGAACTCACGCTGTCAGGCTTGGCAGCAAGCACCTCTATGTGCTGAACCATCTCCCTGACCCCACTCTTTCGAATCCTAAGGCAGAGCCATGCTGCGTTGCCCCTCGTTTCGGTTCCTCGGTGGGGAAGGCAGCCCAGCTCCCGCATTCCAAGACACACACGGGGTCTGGGGCAGCTGTGGCCCTTTCAGAAACAACCCTGCCAGGAACAGAGCATCTCAGAGCCTACCAAGGAAAACACAGGCGAGGAGGGAGAGCAGACAGGCCCCCAGGCAAGGCCATTGGAGGGCAGGCAGGCTGCGGCGGAGCCAGTCAGACACCAGGTGAAATACAGCCTCAAAACCTCCATCAGCATTTCTTATATAAATATACCCGTCCAGACAGGAAGCCAGGCTGGGGAAAGGGAGGGGAAGCGGGTCCCCCAGCAGCACACAGATGGACAGGAGAGGTGGGCAGGAGGTCAGTGGGGCGGGGGAGGAATGTGGGGGGAGAAGAGGGGTGAACAAGAGAAGCAAAGCTGTAGCAGAGAACAGCCCCTCAGATGCCGGCCCTCCAGAGAGGGTTCCATCTGTTTCTCCTCATGGGGGTGGTGTGGAGTCACCAGATAGACACAGAAGCTAAGGCTGGGAGCAGCACTGAGGTCGCAACCCCGCGGCTGGTTCTCATCTGTCACCCACCGAGGGGTCTCTGGAATGTCCTCCCAAGGAATGTATGTCACGACCCTCCCAAGACCACGCAGTGGATTGGTGGCCACCCTGGAACACAGATGTAAGCTACCAATGGCTTCCCCAGGCCAGGTAACCCCAAGGCTCTGCTCCAGCTACAGGGGCTTTTCATCTTGTAGAACTGGGTCAGCCCAAAGTCATTCCCTACAGTCCTTCTGTTGGTGAAGCTCTCCTCCCAGCCCTGAGTTCTGGATTGAACCGGCCAGAGTCCCCACTGTTTATTTAGATAGGGAGCCCAGGAATGTGATTGACGGTCAGTGCTAGGATTGGACTCAGTACTCCTTTCAAGTAGGGACAAAAGATTCCATCCTATCATGGTACCCAGAGACCAGAGAAGAGAATTTCGCCCTACTTTTCAGAATTGGAGTTAGGTGCCCCCACCCTCTCCAGACAAGGCCTTGCTGTGCAGCCTAGGCTGGCCTGAGACTCCATAGCCTCCAGGTGCAGCCTCCTCAGTGCTGGGATTAAAGGTGTGTCTCACGACACCTGGATTTAGAGTTCTTATTCCTATGCTTGCGTGCAAGAGGGGAGAGGACATGAGTCATGGCTTTGAGGGGACAAGCCACAGTGGGCTCCTGGGCAGTGGGCTTATTTATTTATTTATTTATTTATTTATTTATTTATTTATTGGATTTTTCGAGGCAGGGTTTCTCCGTAGCTTTTTGGTTCCTGCCCTGGAACTAGCTCTTGTAGACCAGGCTGGCCTCAAACTCACAGAGATCTGCCTGCCTCTGCCTCCCGAGTGCTGGGATTAAAGGTGTGCGCCACCACTGCCCGTAGTGGGCCTATTTAATAAGGGAAGAACAAAGAGACACTAAGTAGATCTTGTCAGCCCTTCCTGGTCCCACCCCAGTGCTTGTTGAAGTTGAAGAGAAACGGCCCTGCTCAGGCACCAAAGCCCTCTGTGACATTAGGGGTGGGTCCTACTCCCGTTTGCTCTCTCAGAGGCTCCACTTCTCCCACCCCACCTCTCTCCCACCACACTTAGGCAAGTGGAAGCCAGCTTTCCTCAGAGGGATGGAGGATGCACAGCCCCACTTCACCACTGCCCGCCCATTGTCCCCACCCTTGTCAGGCTCACCTTGGTCTCCGCCAGCTGTCGCTTGAGTAGCTGCAAGGCCTCCGTGTGCTCGCGCTCGCTGTCCTGCAGGGCCTGAAGCTGCTCCTTCAGTTCCCTCTGAAATACACACAGGGCCTGCATGGTGGAGCAGGCCACACCCAGCCAGGGCAGTCTTCGATGGCGGAGAGACCAGCTCTGTTGGTAGCTGGGGTCCATCCTGCCCTCGACCCCCAACCCCAATGCCCGCCTCCCACCATAGTTCGCTCATCAGATCCTGTTGCGTTTGCTTCCTAAACCCAAGAGAGAACACCCAGTCACTGCGCAATATCCTAGGCCTCTTCATTTTGAAACAGGATCTAATGCTATAGGCCAAGCCGGCCCAGAACTCTTTATGCAGCCCAGGTTGGCCTCCAACTTGCAGCAATCCTTCTGCCTTACCTTCTCAAGAGCTAGGGTTACAGCCATGAGTTACCAGGCCTTCCTCTCTAGTCCTCCTGATGTTGAGCAATCTCTTCATAGCCTCCCTCGCCCTGCGCCTCAGCTGCTGGCTGGCACCCGTGTGGCACTCTGATAGGGACCTAGCACTGCCCACAGAACAGACTCACCGCCTAAGTCTCTGCCCGCCGGGTTGGGCCCTGCTCTCAGCCTTGGCTGGTACTGAGTCACTGAGCCTTTCTGTAGCGCTACTGTACCCCCATTCTCAAGAGGAAAAAGCGTATGGAGAGGTCAAGAACCTGGCTCCAAACATACAGCCAGCACACACACAGGTCAGGGCCAGCATGGTGAGCCGGAGTCAACAAGCTTAAAGCCAGGTGACATATTTCTACAATGATGACATCTAAGAAGATCCACGGCAACAAATCCAGGCAGACATGATATCACCTCTCAAACTGAAAACAGGGCTGGGCACTGAAAACCGGAAGACACTCGTCACTAAAGTGCTCACCGTGCCGGCAGGAGGCCCTGAGTTTGATCTCCAGCCCTGAGGTACGAAGCTAGTTGTGGCAGCACATGCTTGTAACCCCGGCACTAGAAATGGGGCAAGGGGGGCCCTGGGGCTCACTGGCCGGCGAGCCCAACCTAGTCGGTGAGCCCTAAGGCCAACGAGAGATCTTTTTTGTTTTGTTTCGGTTTTTTGTTTGTTTGTTTTTTTTAAAGGTAGAAGGCTGGCGAGAAGGCTGAGCTGTGAAGAGAACCTGCTGTTCTCGTAGAGACACCAGGTTCAGTCCAAGCACCCACAAAGTGGCCTGCTTCAGTCTGTAACTTCAGTTTATAGGTTGAGATGTCCTCTTCTGGCCTCTGTGGCCACCACACAGGCATGTGGTACGCAGATATGCATGCAGGCAGACCCCTCATATACATAAAATAAACATTTAAAGAAATCTTAAGAAGAATAAGAACAAAGATAATTAAACTTTATTTCAAAGGTGGACTGCTGCTGAGGATTGACAGGATTGACCTCTGGCCTCCATGTGCACCTGCGCATGCGCGCGCACAACACACACACACACACACACACACTCACTCACATCCAAATGCCTCCTCCTTGGACCCAAACCAGGCTCAGTTTTGTGATTTTTTCCCTCTGTCTGGAGTTCCATTTGGCTCAATAGGATACTTGTGATGGCCTTGCTTAAAATATTGATAGTCTGTTCGTTATAGATTTTCTGGCATTAATTTTGTTTGAAAAAATATCGCACTGGGAATTATTCCTGTTGATCACTGAGGTATTTAGTACCCACCTCAACCTTGCAGCTCCCCCTCCCCGCCCCTCGCTTCCACAACTGTCTCCACCATCCTCCCTTCTTGCTCCCAGCCAGCCAAAATGGCTCCCCTCCATCATCCAGAGCGGGCTCAACACTTGGGACATGACTTTGGCGGTGGTGGTACAGAGGTAGAACCCCCAGCTGTGTGCACGCTAGGCCAACAGACCACAGCGGAGTCACAACTCTCCAGCCTTGGGACTTTGCACTCACTCTTTGCTCGGGCTTCGTAGCATTCACTTAGCTGGAGTCTTGTCTGACTGCCCCACAGACAGAGGCACCTCCCTTACACAACCCTGAGGTCTTAGGTCTTAGCTGTACCATTCCCTGACAGAAGGGACCATACTCAAAATAAATAAATAAATAAATAAATAAATAAATAAATAAATAAATAATAAAAAAAAGAGAAGGCACCGTACTCGTCAACAGCTTGCGTGTGTATTGCTTGCCTCCCTCACTGAGATAGGAATCCTGTGTAGATGGTTTGTTGTTATAGCTTCCTGTATTCTTAGTGCCCAGAGTGGTACTAGCACATGGTGGGGGGCCTGTTTATTTATCAAATAAACAAATCGGGGTGGAGGTGGGTGGTCCCCAACAGAGTCCAGCTGTCTGCACTTACGGAGCCTCTAGCCTCTGTACAGTAGGCGAGGGTCGTCCTTCCCATATTAGCCCTTGGGTTCTTCATGGTAGGTCCTTATCTCCCTCTGTGGTCTGCACCCAGGGGCTATCTGGTACTAGTTAGGGCCCCAGGAAGGGGCTCTGTGAGTGAATTTTCATAAAAACAGAGCCTGAACAATTCCCAGGGACCCCAGTCGACTTAGGCCATGTGATGTCAGACTGGTTGAGGTGCTTGTTCCTTTTTCCTTTTTTTTTCTTTTTCCTTTTGAGACAGGGTTTCTCTGTGTAGCCTTGGCTGTCCTGAAACTTTCTCCGTAGACCAGACTGGCCTCAAATTAAGAGATCTGTCTGCCTCTTCCTCCCAAGTGCTGGGATTAAAGGCGTGCACCACTACCACCATCCAGCTGGTTCCTACTTTTACCTCCCATCTTGTCAGAGCAGGAAGGATACTCAACAAACAACAGGTCCAACTTATCCCACAGCCTTAGCACTGACATGAGGAAACGGCCATGATATCACAGTAACTGAGGATTGGAGCACACAGAATGACCTCTGCTGCTACCGCTCCCTCATCTACCAAGAGTTTATTGAGCAGCTACAATGAAAAGGACACCGTTGAGGTCTGGAGACACAACAGAGAACAAGGCAGATGCAGTTTCCGCCCACAGGGTTCCTCCAGTCCAGTGAGCAAGACTGACCAGAAACAGGAAAAAAAAAAGGCAACCAGAGAGGGAAAAACCAACGCAGTCCACGCTCTGGAAAAGAAGGCAGAGATGCTGTGCCTGGGGAAGTACCACTCAGAGGAAGGCACACGGGCCTGAAGACAGCCACGGATAACAAGAGATGGGGTGACATGCTTGGTGACAGCAGAGGGCTTCAACAGATACGATGGCTGGAACGCCATCAGCCGTCTCGGTGTGAGGCGACTGTGACGACAGAAGTGAGGGAGAAATAACTGTGTTTCTCTCGGAGGACTGTGGGGACAGACACACAATCACCAGACCTGTTCCCTGAGAGAAAAAAGAAGGAAGGGCAGAGGGCAAGCAGGCTCTGATATTGTTGGCTAATGCCAATGGTGTCCATGCTTTCCACAGAGTGGGCCTCAGGTCACCCGTGTGAGGTGTTTGGACGAGCAGTAAGAGATGTGAGAAATCAGCCCTCAGGATCCATTCAATGTCCCCTGCACACCAGAGCCTGGAGCCCTCTCTGATGGATCTGCTTTTCATGAGAGAGAAATCCTGAACTATTTAGCAGCTGAGGGTCATTCCTAAGGCTCCCGGGCCCCCGAGGCCTCGACAGGCAGGCCTACTTCGCCACCGTGCAGAATGTGGCTTCCGGGGTCTAATCTAGTTGGGAATTTGTCCGGTCAAGAGGTAGACGTTTGGAGAAATGGCTAGTGCTGGATTCTCCCCAGTGGCGGTCGCCATAGGTCCTGTAAGGTCCTGGAAACCCCATCTGTCACATTGCTCGGAACGTCCTGGGAACGTGGACAAACTCCTCACTGGTTTTGAACCCAGGGTCTGAGGAACTGGCTTGCCCTTCTTCCTACATCCATCCAGGGGGCAGGGGAAGTGTTCCCTCCTCTACACTCCAAGGCCTCCCAGGACACCTACGGCACTGTCAGGGCTGGGGAAAGAGAAATGAGGGACAGGGAGCACTGTGGAGAGAGGCTAGGACAAAGTCACCACGGTGGATGCAGAGTAGTGTGAGGGACATCAGCCCTCCCTTTCCTTACTGAGGAGAGTTGGCTCTATGGGGTGAAGTGTACCCAGTGGTGCCCTCCCGGCCAGAAACCCACGACTCATCTCTGAACCTGACCAGTCGGCCCTCAGGCTTTCTGTGGAGTCTGGTCCTGTCGCCACACCCACAGCGCCTGGTTCCGCCTTCACTAGTTCTTTTCTGAATTCCCACCTTAGGACCCACCTCTATTCTGTGTCCGATGCCGCCCCCCCCCCCACAGTGGTGTCAGTGAACATGAAAAGGATTTCTTCGGTGTCTGGAAAGACACAAGGCCTGGGGGCAGCATTCAAGGCCCTCCACGCCAGCCCTGCCATCTCTAGTCAGCTCTTGGTCTATACCTGCCCCGTTCAGCATGACAGCCTTCAGCCTCATGCGGCCATTTACACAGCAGTGGGTGAAAATGAAATGGAGCGGAAAATTCAATTTCTTGACTGTCCTGGCCTCGTCTCATCTCAAGGGCTCAATAGCCACTTAGGGCTGGCAGGTATAGTACCAAGCAATACAGATGCAGAACTCGCCAGTGTTCCAGAAAGTTCTATTAGACAGCACTAAACACCATGCAGGGTTTGCCTCCTAGCCCTTGTGCGATGTGGCCTCTGTTCAGGGTGCTCATGTGACTCGGGGTCACCTGTCCCGAGAGCCCACCTCCCGAACTCTCCCTCTTCCGACATTCCTCTGTGTGCAGGGCCCATCCTCGTACTGTTGTAGCAAATGAATTCTTCTCCCTTTGAGATAGGGTCTCACTAAGGCCAGGCTGGCCTGGAACTCACTAAGCGGCAGAGGATGACCTTGGGCTTCTGATCCTCCTGCCGGTGTGAGACACCACACCCCCACTTATGTGGTGCTGGGGATTGAACCCAGAGTTTCATGCATACTAGGCAAGCACTCTATTAACTGAACCACATTCCCAAGTTCAACACACTGTATTCCGTGAGGTTACCTATCAGTCTCCTCCCCAGCTAGATCTTGGGCTCCTCAGGGTAGTGACCATGTCCTGAGCTGTTCTCACTCTCA